AGGTCTGTAAAATTTTATTAAAATAACTAAAGTGGTTTCAGAGGCACTAATAGATTTTATTTTTTATTATAGAACTTTAACACCCTGTATATCCCTAACAAAGTTTTATAAAAATATTATTTGTTTGAGAAATTATTGTTATTTTTCGATGTAGAATACTTGCTTGCAATTTTTTGCAATTTTAAGAAAACACCCTGTATATTGAATTTCTGGTCAAAGTCGACTATGACTTAATTAATAATTAGTTAAACCCGCATTTTACGTAATCCTTAAAGCCCAAAGAAGCATCAAAAAGTGTCGTTTAGTTTGACCTAAAAATTTTCAATTCCTATATTTTTTCAAAATTATGTAAAAAATCAAAAACTTGATGTGAACAGGGTCGTTGTAGCACTTTTATTCAAATATTAAATATTTTTGTTCGGTGCGATTGTAGTTTTATTTCGGAGGCGAGATTTGCATATTCATCGGATTCTACGTCGTTTATTATGCACATTTTTAATATTTATTCTAATTTTAACATTCAAGCGAGCAAGGGCCAAGGCTCATTAAATCAAAAAAAAAACACACTAAATCAATATCAAAGCACTATTTTTACTAATAAATGGATTATCGTAGTTGGCGATAGATTAAATGTGATTTATTATGTCAATATAAACAATTTACAATGTCAATAATAATACTGACAAATTTTTCAACTTTGTTTTTCCAGAGGCATCCATCATTTATCTGTTTCAAACTATTTCAAAAAATATAATTATACAGGGTGCGCCAGAACTCGTGCCCCAGAAAAAAATGCCATGTTAGGTAAGATACCAGGAATATGGAAAAAATGTTAAAAAAATTCTATCTACAAAAATTTCGAAGTTATGAAAGCTCAAATTTTGCACTTTGACTCTATTTATTTCTGTTGAAAAAATAATGTTCCAGGTTTATTAGACGAGGAAACAAGGAAGCTGTATCCTAAATTGTAACTATATTTAACGTTTTTTGTGGATTTTATTGGCATTTTTTTATACCTTTACTAAATAATTATAAAAAAACCTATACAAGAATTTTTTGACAGAATTTTTTAAACATTTTTTTGATGTTCTTGGTATTTTATTTCACTTGAAAATTTTTTTTGGAGCGCAAATTCTGACACACCTATATTATATTACGATAAGTTGCAATCACATATTGTACATAAAAAAAATAACATTAATAAAAGAATAAAAAATTAAAAATTAAAATGTTCTTACGTGCTCATGCGCACGCCACTGGTAAGAGTAAAAATAAAGTAATTGCCAGAAAATAAGCGCTTTCAATAGCTCACAAGGTCTGTAAAATTTTATTAAAATAACTAAAGTGGTTTCGAAGGAACTAATAGATTTTAATTTTTATTATAGAACTTTAACACCCTGTATATCCCTAACAAAGCTTTATAGGAATATTATTTATTTATTTATTTAAAAATTTTAAGTTTATTTTTCGATGTAGAATACGTGGTTGCAATTTTTCGCAATTTTAAGAAAACACCCTGTATATTAAATTTCTGGTCAAAGTTGACTATAACTTAATTAATAATTAGTTAAACCCGCGTTTCATGCATTTTACGTAATCCTTAAAGCCCAAAGAAGGATCAAAAAGTGTCGTTTAGTTTGACTTAAAAATTTTCAATTCCTATATTTTTTCAAAATTATGTAAAAATCAAAATCTCTCAAAAATTGCCAAATTTTGCGATTTTATGTTTAGAAAACCATGTTTTTGGGTTCCGCTAAAGTACGAAAAACAAAATGTGCAGTTCTTTCGATTTTTCAAAATTAAAAAAAAATCGCACAAAATCTATAAAAAACGATTTTAGTTTTGGATTTTCTGATTTTTTTTGCTCAACTTCTTGTAAAGTAGAAAATTAAAATTTCTCTACATTATTCATAATTGATCTAAAGTTCAAAGTCACAGACCACTTTGATCAGAAATTTAATCAAATGTATGATACGTTACGTTGTTAATAGCTATACCAAATGTGTAGAAAGTAATACCAACAAAAATTATATATAACTTTTGAAAAAATTTAAAAAATAAAATTAGACGTTACTGTTAATATTTATAAACTTTATCCACGTCTAGTTAACTATGATAACTAAAAATAAGTTTATTTCACTTAATTAAAAAAACATTTTGACTCTTTAGAATTCAAAAGTACAAAAAACTAAATTGCTTCGACCAAAGTAGACAAAAACTTATTATACAGGGTGCCCAAAAAAGAGTGCACCAACTCAGTAATATGTTGTTGAGAAGGATGCAGATTACCAAAAAAAATATTTAAAAAATTCTTGAGATATACACTTATTTTTTTTTTTTTCAGATTATTTGCTCAAGTTTTAAATTTTACTTTAAGTAATCGTTTTATATTATTTCAATATCTAGCAGTATTTAAGTTTTTAAAAAAATATTTATTTAACAAAAAAATACCGTTTGCTGATGTGACAACACTGTGTATTAATTTTAGCTGTCGTTGTGGTAACAATGATTATTTCCTGGGAAACCGTTACTGATGTTTCAAGAATAATTAATTTTTACTGTTGATCAATTAGACAACGTTGTCACATTCAGTTTTTTAACACGTTTTTTATTAATAACTTTACTAGATATACTTAATTGTTTAATTATTTTTATCTTTATACCTGATGAACAAAAAGTATAAAACCAAACGTTTTTTTAAACCACTTATTTTTTGAAAGAACTAGATAATAATGTAAAGTACTATAAAAATGTGACGTTTTGCAAAAATCAAATTTTTTGATTGTCACTGTTGACAAAAATATCTGGTTCAAAAAAAGTAGAGCGACATAGAAAAATTCACATGTATAGAAATTCCATAGGTGACTAGATGAAAATCATTTTAAAACACGTTGTATAAGTTGTTATTTTGAAAAGAAAAATGGAAAATTCAAAAACAAAATATTTTTTTTTAATTTTGAAGACAAATGACTAAAAAGCTCAACACTTTTTGTTTACCCTGTATGTGAGCATTTCTCTCCCAACTTTCACTGAATTAGTGCATAGCTTTTTGAGTGCCCTGTATTTGATAATCTTAAATAATTAAATTTTTTTAAATAATAATCTACAAAAAACTGAGTCACCATTGTGTCCCCCCTCCACCAATGAGGTGGCGACATTAGAAAAATAATTAAAAAAAGAAAAATGCGTTAGGTGGCTTTGGGTCAATGAAAAAAGACAAAATACGTAATAAATAAAAAAAGTATAATTCCGTCTTTTTCTATCACTTAGTGTCAATGAACTTTAAAAACTCAAATTATTAAAATCACAGAACTTTGTAGTTTTTCACTTACAATCGTTATATTTTTCACTGAAAATGATACGGAAAAATTGATTTAAAAGCGATTTGACTAAATCGTAGTAGGTGCTTTTAAAAAAAATCAAAATAAGACTTACCACGGCATTCGAGAAACCAAAAATCCGTCAAACACTCGAAACAACAGTAGTAAAAAATCGATTTAATCACACTTTTGTAACAACACAAACACTTTAAGTTTCTTGAATAAAAAATTCGATTTAACCACATTTTTTGTAACAACAAACTACAAAGTGGTTATAAATGATTTTCATCTAGCCAGCTGTGAATTTTCCATGTAAAATAAAAAATGCCGCTTTACGAAAATAGGGGTAAATACTTGTTTTAACTCAAAATTAAAAAATCGCCGTTTACTAAGCGTTAAACTTGTTTTCTTTCAAAGTATACATTATTATCAATTATTATTGGAAAATAGTTGAAACAATAAAAGTTTAATTAACAACAATTTATTATTAATTAATAAGTGACACTAATGACAGAACTAGAGCTTTCAAAAAAGTAGAGCGGCACAAATAAAGTTACATGCAAAAAGATTTCAAAGCTGGCTAGATGAAAATCATTTATAACCACTCTGTACTAACTACACCACCTTGATTTAATCGTGTGCCAATTAGTACCAACCCCACAATTAAAAAATCACCAAAATAATAGTAATTTTGGGTGAAAAACCCACTTTATTGCAAAACTTTCCCAATAAACTTATAAATTTTGGCCAAATCGAATCGAATAATAAATTTATCGTCCCCCATTATCCCGGCGCATCCACCGAGAAACTTGAAAGTTAGTCACAAGACATGATACCGTCGACCTTTCCCATCAATACTTGTATCAAGTAAAAACCCAAATTCAACAACAACAAGGGCCTCCACCCCTCATTACCATAATTAAATTATTCATGAATTTTTTCAAAACGTCTCAAGTCTTGCTATAAATCCGTTAGCTGAATTAGGGGCGAATAAATGACCATTGTATTAATTAATCGAGGAGTTTGAAGAGTGCCGGAGGCTATAAGCCGCCAAGTTTGGATTTATGATCCTAATTTGAGCCACAAATTATTGTTGAGAACAAGCACAAAGCCGTGTTTACAAGCTTGATTTATAGCCGGATAATATTTTAATCGAGAGCGAGTTTAAATAAATTGAGAGAGAAGGGGGCTATTGAACGGAAAACTCGTCATTGATGCGTAATTGGATGTTAATCCAGAGGGATCGTGACAGGTCGTGACCGAGTTGGTAATTAAGTTATTATAACTAAATTGCAACGGTTTAGTTAAACTTTATTTCACAAAAAATTAATTAAACAGACGCAATAAAATTTTCATGGAATGCTAAATTAAACTCTCTATTAGAATATTTGCTACAGCCCATAAACTCGCGTTTTATGAGCAAAACACTGAAATTAATTGAATTGCGCGCCATGAGTGTGCAATTGACCGAAACTTTGCAACACAAAAGACGCAATTTATTTTTTATAAAACATAAAACGCATCAAACAACGTGTTAGGGACACAAATATGCTATCAGACTATTTTACAATGTGCTTTTTAATTTAAAATTATTAATTTTTGACGTACCAAATGCGCCATAAGTCGCATATGACCGAAATTTGGTAACAAAAACGTCTCAACTATTTATTAGTTTATTTTTGGTATAATACCAGACTATAAGACATTACATTGGGGACACAAACACCACTTTATAGTTTGTTTTGTGCGTAAAAATGCACTTTCGGCCCGGGACACTTTCCCTCGCAGTCCACCTAACCTCAAACATGCTTCGTCAATTCCTGCGCCCAAATCCAGGTTTGTCGCTTTGTTTCACCCAAATTTCGTAAACAGTGTCTTATTTTAGTGATTTTGCGTCCTGTGGTGCGCAATGTGCCCCAAATTCGGGCCGAGTCGACCACCGATGAGCCCCTTTTCGACATGGAAAACCCCTTCGAGAAGGAGAAGCAGCAGTGTCTCCTCTGCCGCCACAAAATCACCCCCGATTACAAAAACGTGAGACTGTTGTCCCAATTCCAGTCCCCCTACACGGGGCGCGTCTACGGGAAGCACATCACCGGTCTCTGCGAAACCCAACAGAAATTGGTGGAGGCCGAGATAGTTAAGGCCCAGAGCGCCGGCCTCATGGCCACGTATTTGAAAGAACCGTGTTTTCTCAAAGACCCGAAGTTGTTCGATGCTGATAACCCCATCAGGCCCCACAGGTTTTAATTAGCTAAGAAATGTAGGTAACAATTTATTGAAACTAAATCAATTAAATAAATTCTTTTTCCCTTAAACTAAATCACAATTTTCTCAATTAAATAAATGCCTTTTCACTTAGACTAAATCACCGTCCTCTGACAAAGTGATCAAAGTCGGCGGTATGTTTAAATTTTGCAACAGTGTTGCCATGTCTGTGACCCCATAGGGCTGCAATTGGGGCACAAGGTCATTCAAGGCCGAGACACACCCTGATTTCCACAACGCTGTCAATTCTTTCAGTTCCGTGACCTTGTGTTTGTTTCTGAAATTTTCAGCTCGTTTCAGGTCCTCCACAAGTCGTTCTTTTTCTCGCACAATTTTTTCCAACTTTTGGACCTCCTCTTCAGTCACTGTTGTTTCTACAGGAATCAAGTCAATTGAAGATTCCCCAAAGGTTGTTTTTTTCAGTGACAATGAACGTTTCAGTTTTTTACGGTCTCTGTTTTTGATTGGGAATGATTCAAGCATCGCGTTGGTTACGTCGTTCATTGCGGTTGTCTTTTGTGGGGGCTCCTCATTCACAGGTGCAACAAAATCATCACTTTGGGGACGGTTCTTCTCCGCTTTTTCTGATGTGTTGCTATTTTGTGAGGAGTTTTTACAAATCTTGTCTTTTATTGCGGTTTTTGGACTCGGGGGATCAATTTTGGGACAATCTTCCTTTTTCTTGATTTTTTTTGAAACTTGTGGTTCAGTTTCGTCTTTTTCTGAACCAAGATCGCGGGGTTTTGGGGTCGTGTCAAGGTTGCTAGAAATGCTTGCTTCCTTATTCTCCACCCCAGACCCCCCTCGAGAGTCACTTTCTGTTTTTGAGTGCTTAGAATCAGAATCGGAGAAAATGCTGCTACTTTGTGGATTTTTCCGCTTTCTAGATAACCCCATTTGTCGGTATGGGGCTAGAAGGTGTCTATCAGCGGAAAAAATATCGCTACTTGGAGGTTTCCGTTTTCTTGATAGCCCCATTTGACGGTACGGTGTCAGGTGTTTGCTTTTAGAAGAATTTAGTGGAGGCGTCTTGGACATTTTCTAACCTACAAAAACACATTATGCAAAAAGTAACCAATACCACGGGGCACACATTACAAAATAAGTCAACTCCCAACACTGATAATTATATTGTGAAAACAATCACAAATATTGAACAAAACTGAAAATCACAACTTTTTATTTACTTTTTTGTTTATTGACACTTGTTAATGACAGGATGGGGTTTTAGGGACTTTCGTTTTTGTCACATATTGCAAATTGATTTAATTTGCAGTGAAAAATACATTACTGCGGGCACAACTCAAAACTGATAAAATCGCAAATACTGACAATAATTCAAAACCCAATAAACCGATAAAATAAATTAAAATTAAAATTTGTTATTAAATCTAGGGATTTTAGTTTTATTTCAATTTGAGTTTTAAAATTATTAATAATAATAATGATGTGTTATTTTACCCCTTTTGCGGCCCAAAAATGAGTTCGAGTTTGGCAAAACCGACAAAATCCCAAGCCACAAATAAATTTAATATTTCTTAATTGTTAATCTAGGGTTTTTAGTTTTACCCCCATTTGTGTTGTAATCGGTGTTTTATTTTCTCCCTTTTCCGGCCAAAAAAATGGATTTCGAGTTCGATGATATCGACAGTGGGGCCCTCGACGACCTTTTGGAGAAGATAAGCAACACGTCACCGGTGTGTAATCATCGCGTGATAGCCCCCATTCACTGTGTTTTTTAGACGCGCAAGAAACCTGAGCCCGGCCCTGAACACCTCACAATTTTGACGAAATGTTTCGGGCACAAGACTTTCCGACCAATGCAATGGGAGATAATTTCGGCTATTATTGATAAAAGGGATGTTTGTGCCATTATGAGCACTGGATATGGCAAGTCTTTGTGTTTCCAATACCCAGCGACGTTCCTCAAGGGGGTCACACTTGTAGTCTCACCGTTGATAGCCCTAATGCAAGACCAAGTCCTCGCTTTGACTGTAATCCTCCAATTTTTTTGATAATTTCAAAAAGACAAGTTTTTAGGTTGCAAACATCCCGGCATGTCTTTTAGGGACTGCACAAAACGAGCAAAGGAAAGTCATCGAGGAAATATTCCAAAACAAGTACAACATCATCTACCTCACCCCTGAGTTCTGTTCAGGCGAAATGGGGGGCGAGCTTTTGATGAAAATGTCACAAGAACTCGAAATTGTCTTGATTGCGATCGACGAGGCCCATTGTATCAGCTCCTGGGGGCACGACTTCAGGGCCCAGTACCGTAATTTGGGGCTCTTGCGTCAGACTTTCCCCCAGCTGCCGATAATCGCCGTGACGGCGACTGCAACCCCCCGAGTGCGCGACGACATCATCACAAGTCTCAACTTGCGGTAATTGGGGTTATCATAATTGACAAGACTTGAAATTGGGGTTGTAGGGACCCCCTTGTTGTTTGCTCGGGTTTTGACCGGCCAAATCTCTACTTCGAAGTGCACGAAAAAGGGGGCTGTGGCGTTTTTAGAGACTTGACAAGGGCCATGGTGTGTGAAAATGGCCAATGGAGGTTCTCAGGCCCCACGATTATTTATTGCATCACTCGTAAACAAACCGAAGATGTTTGCGAAGTGTTAAAAAGTGAGTTGAATACTTGAATTTTTCTATTTTTTTTTCTGTAAGATTCTGGTGTTAGTTGTCGGGTGTATCACGCCGGTTTGTCACAGAAGACCCGTCAGGGGGCCCATGAGGACTTCGTGCGTGACAAAGTCGACGTGATTGTGGCCACGATTGCCTTCGGGATGGGCATAGACAAGCCCGATATACGAAATGTGGTCCATTATGGGGCCTCGTCGAGTCTTGAGAGTTACTACCAGGAAGTAGGCCGTGCTGGACGTGACGGACTTCCGGCCCGATGTGTCACGATTTACAGTTCCGGTGATTTTCAAATCCTCCGGTAACCACGCCCAAATCCGGGGGAAAATAATTCCGGGTTTTTGTAGGAACATAAAGGAGTTTAGTGGGGGTAATAGTCGACATGAAACCGCTTTGAAAAAAATTGAGGAGTATTTCACTACTCGCATGTGTAGGCGGCGCTTTATTTTGGAGTTTTTTGACGATAGAGTGGGGGAAGATAAGCCAAGACGGAATTGTTGCGACGTGTGTACGAAAAAGTAAGTGGGCGGGGTCTACAAGCTTCAAGGGGCGGGGCTTAGAAACAATTTAATTGTCACTAATTTGGAAAAACTTTATGAAACGGAGAGAGTATGGGGCGGGGCTTACAAGCCTGAGTGATAACTTAAGGGAGCGGGGCATAGAAATAACTAAATTAGTGATAATTGAGATTTGAAATGTAATTGTGATTAATTTGGGAAAAATTGTACGTTGAGGGACCGTTAACTTGGAAAAAATTTGTATAACTAATTCCAATAATTCCAGAATAATTCCAGTAATTCTATTGTTCTGAGATTAGTTCCTATACATAATTCCAAATTATTCCTGTATTTTCCATAATTCCAACTTAATTTTCGTAATTTCAAACTAATTCCGATAGTTCTAAGAAATTCAAAAGATATTATCTCCGATACTTTCGAAAAGAATGGAGTGATTCCAGTAATTTACAAATAATTTAAGTAATTCCAAACAATCAAAAAGATAATTTTAATAATTCCAAATAATTCCTAACAATTGCGATTAGATTTCAAAAATTTGGACTAACTCCAATTCACGGCTCCTCGTTTCAGACTTTGACGAGAAAATAAGAGGGCGGGGCTTAAAAACAATTAGAAAAACTGAGATTTGAGATAAATTTCAGTCTATGACAACGGGAAAGTAAGGGGGCGGAGTTTACGTGGGCGTAGCTTAGTGATAACTAAGATTTGAGATAAATTCGAAATCATGACACAGGAGATAGTAAGGGGCGGGGCTTACAAGCCTGAGTGATAACTTAGAAGCAACTAGTGATAATTGACATTTGAAATATTATTTTGATTGATTTGGGAAAAAATAGTACATTTGGGGCCGTTAACTTGGAAAAAATTTGCACAACTAATTCCAAAAAATTCCACCGAAATTCCAATAATTCAAAAAAAAAAAAAAAAATTCAGTAACTCCAATAATCCATCGTAATTTAATTGTTTTGAGATTAATTTCTATACAGTTGGAGACAAAATACTTTGGTCGTCACTTTTCTGACACTTTAATATAATTCAACCTTTAACGTTAAAATAATTGACAATTTCAAATTAATGACAGCTATTATATTTTCCTATCAAAAATATGTACATAGAACTTGACAGTAACTAAAAATAAGGTTAACAGTCCTAAAGCATGCTTTACCATTTAATGTCACTCAAGTGAAGTATTTTGTCTCCAACTGTACATAATTCCAAAATAATTCCTGTAATTCCAAACTAATTCCGATAGAAGATAGAAGTTCAACGTAATTTTTAAAAGACATTATCTCCGATAATTTCAAAAAGAATGGAGTAATTCCAGAAAAATTCTAGTAATTCACTAATAATTCAAGTAATTCAAAACAATTAAAAAGATAATTTTAATCATTCCAAATAATTCTAAGCAATTTCAATTAAATTACAAAAATTTGTACTAATTCCAGAGTTCACGGCTCCTCGTTTCAGACTTTGACACACGAGAAAGTAAGAAGGCGTGGCTTAGAAACAATTAGAAAAACTGAGATTTGAGATAAGTTTGTGATTAATTTGGGAAAAATTTTAGTCTGTGACAACAAGAAAGTAAGGGGGCGGAGTTTAAGTGGGCGTAGCTTAGATAAATTGTGATTAATTCGAGAAAAATTTCAGACTTTATGACACACGCACCGACCAGGAGAAATACGAAGGGGTGGACGATCAAGGCTGTTATGATTTTACATCAGATGCGAAAAAATTCCTCAAAACTGTCTCAATTTTCAGCGGAAAATTGGGTTTAACCACTTATATTCTTTTTTTGAGGGGTTCCCAATCGGCAAAATTGAGCGAAAGTAAAAGGAAACACCCATTGCATGGGTGTGGAAAGGAGCAGTCGGAGGAGTGGTGGAAATGCATAGGTAAAGTCTGTCCCGAATTGCTGGGAACGTCGGGTTAACAGCGACAAAATTTGTTTGTTGCTAAGTAACGCCATAGCAACGCCATGGCAACGTCGTTGATGTTTTGCCGTTACCTAGCAACGAATTTTTTAAGTCAGTTTTCAGCGCACACTTTACTTCCACTTTTAATTGATAATTTTCTTTAAAATTGAACGAACAACTAAAAAATTTTTATTTAATAAAAAAAAAACAAAACATACCTACAGGGGGTGGCATTAAAAATTTGTTTTTTCCCTGTGTATGTGAAATTTTTTACATGCACATTTTTTATTACATCAAAAAGGTTTTTTTATGTACTTTTATTTACAACCAACTTCTCATTATTTTAAAAATTGCAAACTTAATAAATTATCTCGAAAACCTGAATTAATTGAAAATTTTCTTTAAATTAAACGAAAATAAAGTGTTTATTTATTTAAAAAAACAATTGTGGTAACATATCCGTCCCCGATTACTGTGAAAGTCAGGTTAACATTGCCAAAGTTTCCCCGTTGCTAGGCAACGCCACAACAAAACCATAGCAACGTCGTAACAACGCTCTAGAATGATTTTGATATTTTTTCGTTACCTAGCAACGGTTTTTTTTAAGTCAGTTTTCAGCGCACGCTTGACTCGACTTTTAATTGATAATTTTCATTAAATTTGAACAAACAACTGAAAAATGTTTATTTTGTTTATTTAAAAAAATACAGGGGGTGACATTAAAAACTTGTCTATTTCTCTGTGCATCTGATTTTTTTAGATTGTTTCTATTTTTATTTACAATTTCATAATAATAATTTTTTTTTGTTACCTCAGAAAAATATTTTTTTTTCAGTTTACTTTTATTTATAGCCGTGTTTTTGTACAAATGCATCGTCATGTTGTTGTCTCGGTTATTTATAAAACTCCTTGTTTTATAATAAATCTGCATAATATCGCATCTATTTATAAATAAGATTTACAAGTGCCAAATATTTGATCTTGAGACAATTTCAGCGAAAATTCTCACAACGGGGGGCTATCTGGACCAAAGAACGGAAAAGTCAAAAGGGTACACCTATCAGTCCTTATCACTAACAAACAAAGGACACTCGATGATAACCGGAAATGAGAAATTAGTAATTCCGCCACCGTCAACAGTTCTCAAATTACTGAAACCAAAACCGACTAAAAAGTTAGTGAAAATATCGATTGCATTTGTGTGACTTTTGTAAAATTCCAGAGCGGTTTGGTTAACCACTAGTCCGGTTGATGTCCCCTCGACCAGCAAACAACCGGAAAATCCGGAAACGCAGGAGGAAATCGACGCCCGGATGTCGCTATACCGGAAACTGCTCGATCAGAGGACCGACATTGCCGCGAAACTGGATTGCATGCCCTATATGGTGGCCTCCAATGCGGCCCTAATGCAAATGTCAAAATTCAAACCGAAAACAATCGCCGATTTGACACTCCTAAACCGTGCGATTTGTCGGTTTTTCTTGCAAATTTCTGATTGGTTGTTTCAGTTGATGGCTTCCCGGAGGCGAAAATCGCCAAATTTGGGGCCGCTTTCTTGGGTGTGATCTCGGGGAATGTGGGGGCGGAGCCCGAGTGTCGGAGACAAAAAATTAGGGAGATTCTAGCCCGGAACCCCTTACCCGACGTGAGCATGACTCTGACTGCCGAAGTCTCGTGTAATATGCTCCAGTCGGGGCTCACTGTGGGCGAAATCGCGGCGAAAAGGGGGGTCACTGTGGGGACAATTGTCTCGCATTTGATTTCAGGCATCAAGTTCGGGTTTCCGGTGAAAATGAGCGAGTTGGGGGTCAGTGAAGAGCAGCGCGATGTGGTGATCAACATCTATCGGGGGTGTGTCAAGACAGGTAATAAATAAAAAGTGAGGGCCCCCTTTAACGCGAAGTTTAGGTTTCACCACTGTTAGGTTATCGGAAATGAAGGAGAAGTGCCCCCCGGAGTACACATTCGACCAAATAAAGACAGTTTTGGCGTATTTGCAAGTTAGGTGCCATTTAGCCTCCCTCAAAGTTGAGTATGAGGAGTTTGAGGACTTTAAATTCAGTGATGTTGATTTGAGTGAGGAGCCGCCTTTAAAACGAGAAAAGAGAGACTTTGACGTAATTCTTGATTCGCCCCCGAGGAACTCCGCCTCTGAGCCTAAAATCGAGGCAAAGAAGTCGAAAAAAGTGCTCCCGCCGTGGCTCGTGGCCAAAAAACTGTCTTAAAGTCTCACTAGAGTTAAGCGTTAATCAATTTTTGTATTTTGTTATAAAATAAAATATTTTTGCTATTACATAACCTCACTTTCCCTGATGACGTCACAGTTCACAAATGACTCGCCACAAAAAAAACCGATAAAATTCACAATAAATTGATTGCGCATCGTTTACAGGTGACTCATCAGTGATAACATTATCACAATTCAGTGTTTTTCCAACAGGTTCACAATCACCTGACTCTAACCTCAAAAATGGAATCGTCAACAAAACCCTGGTCTGGGGGCGACAAAAACGGCAACTTGTCGTTTTTCAGTGGTTTGGGGCTAGCAGTGCTATCGTCGGTGTTCATCGGCTCGAGTTTTATCATAAAAAAAGTGTCTCTGTTGAGGTTAAGTCGCAAGGGGGCTTTGCGGGCCGGAGCCGGGGGGTTCGGCTACTTGAGGGACTGGATGTGGTGGTTGGGGTTCCTAACAAGTGAGTATTGCGGTTTTGTCAACTGTGGCTAATTGGGGCTCCAGTGGGGATAGGCGAATTGGCGAATTTCGCGGCTTATACGGTGGCGCCGGCGTCGCTTGTGACACCTCTGGGGGCCCTCAGTGTGCTAGTTTCAGCCGTCCTAGCCTCCAAATTCCTCAAAGAGACTCTAAACACCCTCGGAAAGGTATAGTGAATGACAGTCGTAGTTTAGTCCCTAGATTAGCCTTAGGGATTTATTTAAGTGAAGTTGGTATTACGATTTTCTAGTTGGGCTGTCTTTTGTGCATCTTGGGCTCGGTCGTGTTGATAATCCACTCCCCGAAGGAACAAGAAGTGGCCTCAGTGGCAGATTTGGTCTCGAAGCTCCACAACACATATTTCCTCAATTATGTGATAATTGTAGTGTTAGTAACAATAATTATAATTTTTTACGTGGGGCCCAGGTACGGCTCCCGTCATGTTATGGTGTACATAACCCTTTGTTCGTCAATCGGGAGCTTGACAGTCATGGCGTGCAAAGGCCTAGGGCTCTCAATCGGCGAAATTGTCTCAAATCCCAGCGACTTGAGCTACTGGGCCGCCTGTCTGTTTTTCCTAACTGTAGCTGTTTGTATTTTCGTTCAAATGAATTATTTAAACAAAGCTTTGGATTTATTCAACACTAGTGTTGTCACCCCTGTGTATTATGTCATGTTTACTAGTTTAGTGATTGTGGCTTCTGCGATTTTGTTCAACGAGTGGGGTAATATGCGTCTTGAGGATATTCTAGGGAGTATTTGTGGGTTTTTGACTGTGATTGTTGCCATTTTTATGCTTCAAGGGTACAGGAAAGACAACTGTCAGAAGCAGAGTTTGTTGAGAAATGGAAAAAGTGAATATACCGGCGTTTTTTATACTTAGGTTCAAAATGTATCTACCTCAAATGTGCTGTGAATTGTTTTATTTGCCATAAATAATTTATTTATTATGTTTACATGGACGGTTTGCGACTTGGTTTAGGGATATTTAGTTTTTGACAACCGTAGCCAAGTCGCAAACCGAAAGATAACTTTATTAGGTGCACTGTAACCCACTTTATACACTAGGAAACAACTCTTTTGTAATAAACGTGACAGTAGAAATAAATGTGTTTTTATTTATTTGAAAACAGACACTTCGTGAAAGAATTTTAATTAAATAATAGCAAAAAAATAACAAAAAATCTAGCTTCCATAATTCTGGTATTTGAAATATTGAAAGAAAGAAAACTTAATATAATTAATTTTTGCCCATTTGTAGAAAAAATCTGTTTAAAAAACAGAATAAGAATAAAATGTAAAAAATTCGAAACTTGTAACGTGGTTTTAAAGATTTATAAATTTTGATATTAGTCAATATGATCGTATCTGCGACTTGGTTTAGGGATATTTAGGTTTTGACAACATTAGCCAAGTCGCAAACCAAAAGTTAACTTCATAATGGTGCACTGTAAAAGCTTGTTATCTAATAGAAATAAACTCAGTATTTTGAATTAAAAATTAAATAATTACTAAAAATTGCAAAATCACGACAAGGAATTGAAGAAAAATTAATAACAAAGACAAAAAATCGACTAAAAATAATTGCAAAATTAAAAAAAGATTATTTAAAAAACTCTTGTGCTTCTTAACATTAATAAAATATTTGAAACGGACGATAAAATCTTTCAGTTTTGGTACAGAATAGGGAAAAAATCATTGAGAAACAGAGTAAAATAACAAATAACAAAAAATCATTGAGAAATTGGTGTAAAGTTATTTTTTTTTCAATTTTGGTAATTAAAAATTTTTAGAAAAATGGTTACAGGGAAATCGAAATTGATTATTTTTTAAAATATCTTTAGAAAAACAAATAAGGGTTTAAATTTTCAGGAAAGAGCAATAATCTGCAATAATCAAGTGTACTGCGAGTTCTTTTATGTGTTAAAATAATTTGTTTATTGTTAATATTGTGTTTAGGTATAGATGATAGTGTTCGCCATTTGGTTTAGGGATATTTAGGTTTTGACAACTTTAGCCAAGTCGCAAACCAAAAGATAAGTTCATATAATTAGGATTATTGTAACCGATTTTTATCTAGTGGGAAAAAAACTTTTTGTAATAAATCCGTCAATAAGTAGTTTTATTTTGAAATAAAATTTAAATTAAAAAAAAATTAATAAAAGATTATTACGAAAAATTCCTTAAAAGTTGGGTTAATGTTGTTATTCTAGAAATTTTTCAAAATTCTAACAATCTTATAAAAAATGTCAAATTCAAAACATTTCAAAAATTTTAAATAACTGAATTATAAAACAACTTATTGTAAAAAAGTGTTAAAGTGTGAGTAAAAAGTGTTTGAAATGCTGATTTACTTATTTGATTTTATTTACCAACTTAAGTTTGTTACAAAATTTAAGAGAATATTATGAGAAACTATCAAAAGTGGTCTAAAAGTATTCAAAGAAAAAAAAAGGGAGAAAAAAAATAAAGAAAAAATATTTTTTTTGTGTGTTTAGGTTTAGATGATCGTGTTCGCCATTTGGTTTAGGGATATTTAGGTTTTGACAACTTTAGCCAAGTCGCAAACCAAAAAATAACTTCGGTTCACTGTAACCGATTTTTATCTAGTGGGAAAAAACTTTTTTCTAATACATTTCTAATAAACATGATTCAGTTTTATTTTAAAATAAAATTTAAATTAAAAAAAATTAATTTAATAATTAGTAAATGAAAATAGCAGATTACGAAAAATTGCTTAAAAATTGGATTAATGTTTAAACGACTACAAGGGTTCGTGGAAATTGAAGAAAATTAATAATAAAAAAATACTAAAAATCGAATAAAAATAATTGCATAATAAAAAAAACTAAACGAAAAACTCCTATTTTTTCTGCTGGACTAGTAAAATGGGCCTCAAAGTTATTAAAATATTTGAAACGGCGGTTAAGATCTTTCAGTTTTGTTGTGAAATAGAAAAAAATCATAACAAAAATGTAACAAAAATCACACCCCAATTGAAATTGAAAAATTTTAGAAAAAGAGAAAACTGTTTTTAGAACATCTACAGAAAAAAATTAAAAAAGCACTGAAATATGAACAAAAGAATAAAATGCACTAAAAAACGGTTACGAAACGTTTCCAGGAAAGGGCAATAATTAACTCCAGTTTGCTTGAATTGTTTTATTTGCAATAAATTCAACAAATTTTATTTATTATATTTACACAACTGTTTGTTTTTGAAACAAATTTGAAATTTGTTATGATTTTGGTAACAAAAAAAATTCATTTGCATAGTTACACTGTAACTGATTTTTATCCTAAAAGTACGCACCATAATAAAGAGATTTGGGAAACTTCATTATCATTCTACTAAAGTCAATTTAATCCTCAGGGCAAACACTGACGTCACATAATACATCCGAATTTTATTTTAGAAGTCACAAATACGTTTTTACTCTTCTAAGATAACAGTTTTGCAAATTCTGAAACATTCAATTATTTAGGGTGTGCCAGAAATCGCGCCCCAGAGAAAAATTTCAGGTAAGATAATATACCAGAAACAGGAAAAAATTCTGTCAAAAATTTTGAGAATTATTTTTTGACATTTGATATTTTTATGTCTATTTTTTGTTTTTTTTTTTTTTTGTAATTATTTAGTAAAGGTACAAAAATTTTGCCAATAAAAGCCACAAATAACGTTTTTTCATGTTCCTGGTATTTTACCTATCTTACTTGTTTCTCTAGGGCGCGAGTTCTGGCGCACCCTGTATTTAAAATTTACGAGGGATGAAAATAATTACCTTCGTAATTTATTTTCCCATCTTTATCGGTATCTGCCATATTAATAAACTCAGTCAATTGGCTCTCAGTAACCGGCTCTCCAATCTTGTCCATCGCCAACCTCAATTCATCCCGAGTTATATAACCATTATTGTCTAAGTCGAAGACTCTGAAGGCTTCCATGAGCTCCTTCGCCCCGTCGTCCTCACTTTTTGCCTCGGGTCTCAACTCTTGAATGTGTTTAATCCACGTGAGAAACTCGTTTTCGTCAATCACTTCAACTCCTGTTGAAAAAAAAAATCCCAAAACGAATCAATTATTATCGAAATTTGATTTTTTTTATTGATTTAAATTCACTACAGGGTGACTCAACAAGGAAGTTTGCTCTCAAACGGAGACGTAAAGTGAATCATCTTGTTTATCAGAATTTTAATCAAGTACTGGATGACTCTTCAGTGATTGTCTGTATATAAAAAAAATAATTTTATTGTAGGTATTATGATTTATTTGTGATTTCTTTCAATAATTTCCTTAAAAAATATTACTTTTTTATATTTTATTCTCTAGGTTAGAAAAAATTTTGATTCAAATTTTTTAACCGAATTTTACAAAAAAATAGTACTTAACAGGATGAGGAATTTCTTAATTGAAACAATAAAATAACAATATAAAAAAACGTGAAATATTTATTTTAAGAGTATTTTCAGCCTGTGGTTTAAAGATTCAGCTTTTGAAATTCCTGACATTGTTTAAAATAATTTTCAGGAAATTTGAAAAACTGAGTTTTATGTAAGAAAATATTTCAACAAGTGAGATAATCGTTTTATGGTCTTGTTTGTTTCGTTGAATGCTATAAAAACATGGTTTGGATTTGCATTTCTGTTGCAACTTTGCCAAGTTGTTTTAATTTTTTTGCAAAATTTTGAAAAAACAAGATTTTCGCAATTAACAATTTTTAAACCTTGTATTTTTCTATTTTTCAGTTTTGTACTTATGAATGTGTTGTTATTCTAGAAATTTTTCAAAATTCTAACATTAAAAAAAAATGTCAAGTTCAAAACATTTTAACATTTTTGAATACATGAATTATAAAACAACTCGTAAAAATGTGGTAAAATGTGACTAAAAAGCGTTTGAAATGCTGATTTTCTTATTTGACTTTATTTATTGACTTAATTTTGTTACAAAATTTAAGAGAATATTATAAAAAGTGGGCTAAAAAATATTTAAAGAAAAAAAAATAGCATAAATATAACTGAAAAACGTTAAAACGTACTTTTTTACTCAAAAACTCGCTTATTATTTCTAACACATTAAGGATTATTTAGCCAAAAAAAAAAGTTAAATAGCATATATTTTAAACGTAGGTCAAAAATTTGCAAATGAAAAAAATGTCAAGAAATAGCAAAACAAATAGCAAAAAAATGGAGACTTATGATAAAAATTACTAGGCAAATAGTGTAAAATTGTTTGTCATTGTTGATTTTGGTGAATAATTAAAAAAAACAAAAAAAGTTAAATAGCTGGAAATTTTTTTAAACCCAAAAACTCGCTGATTTTTTGAAATGACAAGCATTTTGCACGGAAACCTAGGTAAAATCGTTGAATATTGACTTAAAAAATATAAAATATTTGAAACGGAAATAAAAACTTTTATTTAAAAACATTTGAAAATATTAACAGAAATTAAAATTATAAAACAATAAATTATAAAACAACCTGTAAAAAGTGGTATAATGTGACTAAAAATCGTTTGAAACACATTAAGGATTATTTCGCCGAAAAAATAACGAGAGAAAATTGTTTTAAATGTAAATTAAAGAGTATATATTTTAAACGTAGATCAAAAAATGTTACGAAATAGCAAAACAAATAGCAAAAAAGTTGTTTGTTATTGTTGATTGTTGAGAAAATAAGAAAAAATTAAATACTTGGAATTTTTTTTTAACTCAACAATTGTCTAATTTTTTTGAAATGACAACTACCATTATGTATGGAAAACTAGGTAAAATCGTTAAAAATTGACTAAAAAGATACAAAATATTTCAGTTCAAAACATTAAAAAATTAACATTAAAAATATAATTGTCTAATTATAAAACAACTTGTAAAAAGTGGTCTAATGTGACTAAAAATTGTTTGAAACGCTGATTCACTTATTTGATTTCATTTTTTGATACAAAATCTAAGAAAATATCATGAGAAACTTTATAAAAAGTGGGACAAAAAAATATTGAAAGAAAAAAAAACATGCAAAATTTTGTAAAAAAGACCAATAATAGAATAAAAATAATTGAAAAAATTTATAAATTGTCTTTCCTACTTAAAAACCCGCTTATTATTTTTAACACATTAGGGATTTAGTCAACAAAATAAGTGTTATTTTAAATTTGGTAAATATGTAATTAAAAAAAAATAATTCAAACCCAAAAACTCGTTGCTTTTTCTGAAATAACACTCGTTTTGCACGGAAAACTATGTAAAATTCTTGAAAATTGACTAAAAAGTTTTAAAATATCTGAAACGGAACGGAAGTCAAAAACTTAATTTTTTTGAAAAATTGTTTCAACACAAGATGAACTACAACAAAACAATCATTGGGAAGGTAATTTGAATTTTTGTAAAATTTTTAGTACAATAATAGAATTTGCACGTTGGTAAACAGGACTTTGCTCTATCATTTGATA